AAAAATCAATTTTTAATGAAGTTGTCAAAATGATTTTTATTTAAATCAATTTGAATTGATTTGATTTAAATAAAATCCATTCTGTTAATAGCATCCAATTATTAATCAGTATGATGGAACTTCTTTTCTATCTTACCTTTTGCCACGCTCATAGCTGTCCAAATGCCTGCTCTTGAATGTTTCCTGGTATTGCAGGTGAGGTTTTTGGGGTGCATGCAGGGCTGCAGTGGAAAGGAGAGACTCTTCTTCCACTGGATCCTGATGTTTTATCAGAAGGAAACAAGCACTGGATGCTGCCTAGTATGTCCCTGAAAGATTTATTACATGCAAATTAAAAATAATGATTCCTTCTTTGGATTAAAAGGAAATACAGTTTAAAACAAAACGGAAAAAAACAACCAATCCAGCAGAATCTCTAGAAATTTCATTCCAGCAGCTTTTTCACACTCCAAGACAGAACAATCAAGTATCAAGATGGAATCAGCTAATAAATCAGAACTAAATTTCTACTTGCCAGAATCTTGTTAATAAGGGGGGGGTTGCATATATTTTTTCCAATTAACAGGATAATGGAAGAATATTTTTTTCTGAGGAATGAGATCAAACTAGAGCAGACATAATGGATAAGAACAAAGGTTTGTTATATACAGTAGTTGTGGACATTTTGTCTGGCCACTATTGGAAACGGCTTTCTGGATTAGACATGCCATTGGTTTAATAAAGCAAGTTTCTCATATTCTTATCAATGCAGCTCGCCAGGCATATACTGTGTTCTTATAAACACCTAGTCATTCTGTTTTTGTAGATCAAGTGAGGTAGGAAAGCAGGAGGTTTACTGGATACAGAGTCGGTGGGTTGCATTTGGTATGGTAGCTATCCCTTGTAGAGATATTATACTTCACTTTCAAGAAGAGGTCCTTGGGAATATGATTTAAATAGAGAAATTAGAACAGAGGATTGGATAAAAAATTGGAAGACGAAAGCTTTAAGATTAATGTCGGTAAGAATACAGGAGAACTTTAAAAAAAATTAGTTTAAGGTGGTACATGATTCAGGTGAAATTGAACAGAATTCAGAGTATTCTAAGGTCTGTTGGAAATGTGATGAAGAAATTGGCACATATTAACATATGTGGTGGGAGTGTAAATTGAATCAGAAATTCTGGAAAATTGATTTTTAAGGAAATATGTGATATATTTGGAAAGGATTTTGAATTTAACTCTAAAATTGCCTTGCTGTCAATTTATGATAAGATAGAATTTATTACTCAAAGGAACTGATTTCTAATTTTATGACAAGTACTGTACCAGATTAATAGCTAGATAATGGAAAGACAAACATAATATTAAATTAGAAGATTGGTATAACTAAGTATGGGACATTGCGCTAAATGACAAGTTGACTACTGAACTTAAGATGAAAAGAAGGGAAATAAGTTTAAATATTTTCTGCTATTTGGGGTAGATTTATTGAAATTGTACCAGTGAAAGGGGAAAGCCTCTAAGCAACAACTAATACAATTTTGGAAAGGAGGTTTGTAATAAAAGAATTGCTCTAAAGGGCCCCATGGGTATGGGGGTGCACTGTGTTTCAGACTATATTAGTATTTTGTATTGTATTTGTTTTGGGAAAAGAAGAAGAAGAGGTCCTTATGAAGGATCCTGTAAAGCAGTGCTTCCCAACACCGGGTTCCCAGATGTTCTTAGACCGCAACTCCCAGAAATCCTGGCCAGCACAGCTAGTGGTGAAGTCATCCAGGGGTTTTCATCCAAGAACATCTGGGGACTCAAAGATGGGAACCATTGCTGCAAATGATGGCCATGCTGGCTGTGGGAGTCTGAGAGCTGTAGTCGAAAAAGTAACTTTTCCAATTTCACAATATTCTGTGGCTCCACAAAGTGGCTAGACTTTGCTTTTAGGACGATACGGGCAGTACAAAGAGGAAGAAGGAAAATAAAATATTCACGAGGTAAGATTGCTTTCCAAAGGTACAACACTGGTTTCCACCCTAACTCCCAGTTTGGCTCCTTATTGTCAGAAAAGCCCAACAGGTGGGTTTTCCACTGTTTTTCTAACAAACCACTGGGTGTTGGGGTTACACAGAAATATGGCAACCGAGGGGTTCTCCTTCAGCTTTGCCTCCAGCAGTGCCTCGTGAGGCAGCTGAGCTTTTAGTGTCTTTTCTTTGAATACGACGTAGCAAAGAGGACCTTGAGATCTGGAACCGTTTCTATATCTCCATTTAATTCAAGTCAATGCACATATTGACATCTTGTGAAAGATAATGGACCTCTGGAGATGGAATTGGATTGCTCCTGTCTGCAGCCAAGTAAAAGAATTTATTTGTGGTTAGTTATGTCTGCGACTCTTAGTGCTGCGTCATACACAGTGCAGTGAAGAGATGCATGCTCTCTTCTTCCAACTTCAGTCCTGTTCTGCATGTTTGCAATTTGGGAAGGGTGGCAAAGTGGGACAGATAAATAATAAAAAACAAACTGGAGGAGGATCAGTGAGAACGAAGAGCCTGACGACAGCATGTGGGGCCTCGGGTTAGGGGACATGGCCTAAGTCCAGAGCTCTGCCATTAGCCACAGATGTCTTGCTAAAAACAATATGGAAATGCTGGTCATATTTATTAGTAATGTAGTAATGTACAAGACTACAGTATTATGTTCAATATTTAACCTTTCTACAAGCATCCAGAGTTGCAAGCTTTGAATACCATTGCTCCGACTGCTAACTAAATTCCTCTGATAGGAAAGACCTAATTCTCTTTCCTATTGCCTAGCCACACTTGCTTAATAATGTACGGGGGAAATTGTTTACCTATTATAATGTCATAGTGTACAGCGGTGGTTTCCAACCCGGCATCCCCAAATGTTCTTGGACTACAACTCTTAGAAATCTTGGCCAGTGCACCTGGTGGTGAAGGCTTCTAGGAGTTTTAGCCCATGAACATCTGGGGATTTAAGGTTGGGAATGACAGGTGTGCAGAGTAGTGGTGAGCATCATGCTGTAATCTAGGCAATAAAGCGTGTTTAGGTGTCAGTAGAAAAGTAGTGACCTAGATGCCGAAAAAGAAGATTCTAGGATCTTCAGTAACCCCAGAGAATAAAAACTGGACAGATAAGCCAGTGCAAAAAGCTGCCGTTTAAAACACTGGTTCACCTGCTTTGAGCCCAAGATGATCCATACTGTAACTGACACTTCTCTATGGTTTCAAACAGAGTTGTTTCTCAGCACTGATACTACAGGTTGTTTAACTGGACACCCTATGCCCTCAAGCCAGGTGTAACAACAATTTCTTTCTCAAAAGAGTCAAGGGAAAAGGGAAATTATTATTGGAAGCAGTGGAAAGCAGCTGTTCCCCATTAGTCACCTTGGCTACAACAACAGCCCTGTAGAGCTTTACATGGATTGGAGTCAGGCCACAAATTCTTCTAATTTACACAGGATTATTACTCTGCTAGCTCCTTAGACTAAACTACAGTATTATTCCGTTTATAAGACACACAACCCTTTTCTAACCAAAAATTTAAAAAAACTTAGCTTTGACTATTTAGCCTCTGGCCTCAGAACGCTAGGACATTACAAGTCCCTGTTGCATCTAAGCCTCCACCTCCAAGGAGGTGTGTTCCTAATGGTGTGTTCAACATCAGCTGACATCAGTTGCATAAGGCTCATGACTGGAGGAAGCTAAGCCTCATGATTGAAGGAAGCCTGTTTACAGAGGCAAGGTATGGGCCGTTTTGTTCTCTCCTCAGCTTACTTCTGTGTATAAGACGCCCCTCAATTTTTAGTGTAATGATTTTAGGAAAAAGTAGCATCATATATGCAGGAAAATATGGTATTTGTAGTCAAAACTGGTGATTCCCTCATATGCAGACATGGAATAATGGCACATCTCATTGGTGATCCATGTTTTTCAGAATGAAAGATCTCTTTCAAAAACAGCTAAACTCCTGTGGCCCAAAGTTACTGCCATGCCCTATAAGTGCTACTGTCTTTCACAAAACAAGAGTTCTTATGTCTTTGTGGTTTATAGGTCCATGGACCATTCACTCTTCAGAAGCTATTCTGAACAGATCTAACGGATGATTTACAAAGGGTGAATGAATGCATTCCCAAATATTTGCAAAACCTAGCTCTTCAGATCTACTTGCAGAAACCTATCTTTCAAGTTTTTAATGACTAACTCCCCTCTCACCAATCTGACACACAAGAAAAAAGCAGAAGATGGCAAACATCCTGACAAGCATCCCAGTGACAGTTGACCAGATGTCAGACTGCAAGGCAGTATCATTCTTCTGACAGTTATGACAATGTGAAAGGTTTTTAAAAAATCTTGAAGAGGACATACTAAAGAAATGTTTTGTTCCTTGCATTTTAAAAAGGCATAAAATGCAATCTATACAGGCACTGGAATTGAGCAGAGTAATTATAATAAACAGTTAAGAAACACCATTCCATTTTAGACTATGAGATGCCATGGTTTTTTACTAAAATCACTTGAGTCATACAACAGAAAAGCAGGAGAGACGTTCGAGACAAAACAAGATCGTTCATCATCGCTGGAGGGGAAGAGAGATTTTACAGCCAGCTTTAAAATTAATCCCAAATGAGAGAGTCGCCTTCCAAACGAATTGAAAATTGGCAGGTCACCTCTCTCCGCGAAGGGACTGTTTCTGTCTACCCACAGCGGAGGGCGCTAGGACCCGGCGCAGAGGCAAGAGGTCGAAAGCAGAGAAGACAATAATTTGTTCCATTGTAATGAGAACTGTAAGTGTTGGCAAAGGGGAGTTTTTCACAGGCCGCCCTTCTTTCACTAACGATTTTCAGTGCCTCCTGTTAGCCAACCCGGACGATTTGTTCAGTTATTGCAACGGTCAACAGATCTGATCTTGCCAAACTCCCCACCCCCCACCCTGAAAAACCCAACCCACCAAGAGTTTAAATTAAAAATATAAGGGAAGGCAAAGCCCAACTCATCATCAGCCTATACAGGAGCAGGAGGGGTTCTGGAGTTGACTGCATGCAGGAAATTTCTCACATCCTGAGTTTTCCCTGCCTGCCTGCTCGCTCGCTCGCTCTGTAACTCAGTGTTCATGGGGCTGTCCTCCAGTCCCAGCTGATGAAAAGTTGGGTCTCTCAGCCGGGGCTAAGATGTCCAAGCCTGCCCGGGCAGAGCAGCAAGGCAAGCCTCCTGCTGTCCACCCTGCAAGCCCGCTCTTCTTCCTACGCCTCAGCCTGACCTGCCTCTTACTCGCCCCCTCTGCCCAGGCTCAAGGTAAGTTGGTCACGCTTCTGGGTCTCTCTCTCTCCCTCTGTGTGTGTCGTGTGTGTGTGTGTGTACACACACACTCCTTGAGTACGGGCGGACACGCGCAACCTCGCCTGCCAGCAGACCGGGGGTGGGGTGGGGGGCTCTCCCCAGCTTGGCACGGCGACTCCTGCGCAAAGGGAGTTCCCAGCCGCCCACTTTGGGGGCGCGCGCGCGCTTTTGTTTTCCTCCTGCAAAAACAACAACCCTAAATAACAGGCATTCCTCCCTTACTCCCCTTCTTTTGCTATTTCGCGTCCTCTAGCGACCTCTCTCCCCGGCACGCCTGTCCCCCTCAGCCGGGAGAATCGTCCCAGCACCCACCCGCCCCCTTCGCCTGGCGGCGGACGTGGACGAGGAGCAACAAGGCAGGCGAGCTGCATGCAGGAAGCCCTCTCGCGGCGGGCGTCTATGGTTCGCTCCAGTGCAGGGCGGGTGGAAGAGACGCGGCGGCGGCGGCGGCTGCCTGTTGCATCCGCCGGGCGCGATGGACGTTTCCCGCCTGCCCTTTCCTTCACGCCTCCCACGCTCCCTCCCTCCCGCTTGCCCGCCCCCCTCTTTTCTCCGCCGATATTCCCTTCAGTTCTTGAGCCGGGCGCGCGCAGCTCCTCTGTCCCTGGGCCCCCCTCTCTCTAATACCATGCAGTGCAAATTGTCCTCCCGTGACGGGTGCCATCCTTCTGCTTCTTCGCCCCCCTGTGTCTTTCCATAACGGGGAGAATGAGACCCGTGAACAGGTGAAGGGTTGCTCTGGGCTTGAGTCTCCTCACCTGTTGGACTTTCAGGCGCCTCCCCGGAATAGGCGGAGGGACTTTGTGGCGGGACAGTGGGGGGATTTATCCTTCTGAAGGCGATGTAAAGACAAATCCTCTCAGGGTTGAGTGATTCGTAGAAAGAGTGAACCGTGTCCAAACGCTGGAAAGAAAGAAAAAAGGTTGCTTAGAATGGTATCACTGGAACAATTTCACAGTGTAAGTGTCTTTTAATTACTAAATTGGAATTACTAAATCCTTAAATTCAATAGGATTTGCAGTCATGTGAGCACACAGGGACTAGGACTTGTAATCACAGTATTTTTGTAAAAGTTGCAAGATAATAAGCAGTACAGTGTAGGCGGCCTGGGTTCAGATCCTCACTTCGCCATGGGCACTCACTCACTAGGGGTATGAAACTGGCAAAACCATTCCCTAAATACCTCACTTAAAGCAACCCAAATAGAGTTTTCAAGGTAAATCAGTTTTGACTTAGTGGCACATAATAAGTACCCAGGAACTGTAGTTTTATGTACACCTTTGCTGTCCAACCTCCCAAAAAACATGTATGTTGGCTGCTTTCCACCAATGTAGATGTATGATTGCATTGGTTGCTTTTGGCTTGATTCTGGGATGTGGTTCCTGAAAGTAATATATTGACGAAAAGCAACCACAGAATTCTTGCAACTGTTATGTGGCTTTTCAGATGCAATCCCATCCATGTTTCCCTCAGCACTGATCAGAGTAGAACATATTACGGAGTATAGTTCAGAGCACCAAGAGGATGGAAAATCATGGGCTCCTAGACATGATGAGTGAATGCCTAGAACTATGGCTTTGGAATCAGTATTGCCAACTAGCAGAGGCGTAATTCAGAGTAACAGTGCAATGCTCTACATGGGTACTTGAAAGTAATTCTAATTGAGGTCAGTAGGGCTTACTACTTCAGTCAAGTATTTCCCACTGAGGTCTGTGGGACTTACACCAGGCAATTTTGTGTTGCCTTATAACTGACGTCCTTGACCCTAGCAGCCTATTTCAACTAGGCTTTCTATCGGAAAAGACCCCCTGCTTCCCCTGTACATATCAGATAAGAACATATACATACAGCTTCCAGATGTCTGATATGTCTCTAGTAAACATTCAGAGATAATAATGCTGAAGTGTTTTGCCTACACTGCTCATTATTTTGCATCTTTTACGGACTGATTACAAGTGTTTGGCACAAGCCTGAAGGTATGTGGTTGGTGTGATTTTCTTTCATGCACAACAGAGGCTCTCTCCTTTTTCCTTTCTCCATGTGCATATGCTTAAATGGCTGACTTGTTGCTGAAAAGTCACATACACATACACAGGAATCCAAAGTAATTAGGAAACCAAACCAAATTAAAGCCAAGCACCTTGGCAGACTGGCATATTCTGTTACAGCAGCAGGAACAATGCCAATGCTGTTTTTCTTGTAAACACCAAACATCTATTTTCCAATGCACTGCAGTGTTGGGAAAGAGGCACTGCTATGATCTACAGGACTTTTCTTTCTAACTAGGCCTCTGGTCTAGGTGGGCGCCAGGCTGACATGTTTGTCTCTTGTGTTGGGTGAGCATAATAGATATGGGGATTATGGTAGTTTACTAGCTACATTGCTGTTCAGCATCTTCAAACTGAGCTGACAGGAGTAGACACATTTACCCAGGTCCACACTTCAACATTGTCTTTGGAGTTTCAGTTGCCATTCCTAGTGACTGATGTCACTCGATCAGGGCACCTCAGAACATCATGGCCATCGTAACAACCTTCTCTACACATATTATTTGGCTGATACATTTTGTCAGACATATGCCAGACTTGTTTTTTCCATAGGCCAAGAGGATAGTGGTTTGAAGGAGGATTTATAACCTGTCCTTTATCGTGAGACAATTTCCTGTTAAGGGCTAGACTGTCAGTGGCATGCTTAGATTCCAAAGGGCCCTGTTTCTTTCCCCTCCAGCTGATATGATTGGTGTTCCTGTTGAAGACCTGTGGAATGCAAGGGCTGTGCATTACAGTTTAGCAGAGCTTATTCAGCTCTTTGGTCCAGCACTGAGTAGGATATGAAGAAGTAAGATCAAAGCTATATAGATTGCAACTGGAGGAGAACTGAGAAAAAGCATAGTGAAGCACTTGCAGGAACACATAAAGCCAACTCTGTGGTAATGAAGCTGGCAAAGAAGCAGTTTTTGTTCCCCATCATACTATCTTGTCCAAGTCATGTAGCAGAACATTTTTTAGTGGTTGGGACTGCTTTTTACAATCTAGTAAAACTATATTTGCAGGATAAAATCACTTGTATCCATCTTGACTTGGATCTTGCAGTTGATACAGATCAGTCCATGGAGGTGTCCAAAGCACTGTCTGGTTCTACTTTGGATAAAGTAAGCACATGTCCGCAACATGTGTGGCTTGACTGACGACATGTGTGCTCTTTCCTTATCTTCTTTTGCAAGAAGAGTAGAGATATCTGGTTGGATCAAGAAGATAAAATATTTAATTGGAGGATTTGCCCCAGCCTTTGTACATAAGCCATACAAATGCTCTTGAAGAAATCATAATGGGACTAGGAAGATCTTAATTATAAGTCAGTGGCAAATTCCCCCTTTTAGGCTAGATACTCAAGTATATACACATGGCTTTTTGGCCATGTCTTCTTAGCTTCAGAATCCTGTCTCTAGGAAATCCTGACTGAAACTTGAATTGTTGTCTTTCTGTAGCCAAGTCAAGATAGTTCTTGTTGTTCCCCCAAACATTTCAAAAATTTAAATATTATTTGAGATGCATTATTTTGGCTCAAGAAGGTGTTTTCAACTCCTCATGGTTTACTTTGGCTTTATGTTTTATTCCATTTGTTGCTGGCATATGCTTATTTAAATGTCCTGCATTTTGAGTTCTTGCTGTTATGTGCTGTCAAGTCTCTTTCAACTTACCTAATAGGTTTTGAAGGTGTTTGAGGAATGGCTTCCATGGCTGATCTGGGATTTCAATCGAGGTCTCCTGAGTCCTAGGCCAAAAGTCTTATCTACTAATACACACGTGTGGGGGGGTGTCGCATAATTTCTACTGTTTTATTATTATCTTTTTCATCACTGTACAAATATCTAAAGTAATAATTCCTAGAGGTGTTTAATAAAGCAGATGTTGATTGGCCCCAGCTTATTGGGATTTTTATTTTAATCTGTAAATTACCTTCAGCCCTGTTGTTGGGGGGGGGGAAGGCAGAATATGAGGGTAGTAAATAAAAGAAGTAAGCAAATAAATCCCATTGGAGTCATACCACTTTGGCTATAGTCTCAGAACTGTAATTGTATCAGCATAGGTCACAGCTAAATGCATAGTGGAATATGCTTTCAGATACCAAAAAAAGAAAGAACTGTGGTAATATCTTATTTTGTTACAAAACTGCCCATGTTACGTTCCTGGTGGGCCACAGAGCTTAGGGAGTCATCAGGGCACAGTGGTTGTTACAGCACCTAGGAGAGCTCCCAGTAAGCTGCTTTCATCAACAGTGTGCTAGGCCAGACTGAGCCTTTTTATGCTTCTATCCAGATACCACCTCCTTTTCCACAAAGTGGAAGGCTTTAATGTAGTGGTTGCTAACCTTGGGCCCCCAGTGGTTCTTGGACTAAGACACCCAGAAGCCTTCACAACTAGCTTGCTGGCCAGGATTTCTGGGAATTGTATGCCAAGAACATCTGGGGTCTCAAGGGGGACACACTGCTTTAAAAGGATAGCCGTTTAAGAGAGGCAGGAAAACAAAACTTTAATAATCCTCTGCCTTTCACCTTAGTAAACACATCAGACAAATTTATCTTAGATCTGTTGTGAGATGACAGTTGCTGCGGTGGATGGCAGTTGCTGTGGACACAGGATGGAAAGGGCTGCTGCAATGATGTTCTGCCTATGAACTTCCCACAAACACCTGGTTGGAATAGAATGCTGGAACACATCTGTAGCTGTATAGTGACGTTATCAGAAGAATTTGCCAAAAGAGAGGGGTCCAGTTAGTTGTAAGATCTCTGGGCTTCAGACTGTACCACTTTTGAGAAGATAGGATGCTTCAATTTCTGTTCTTTGTGACTGAGAGGAGTTTTCCTTGGATACATCAGGCACAAGACCAACATCTTTTATATTGTCTACCAACTTCTGATTGTATATCTCTTTATATGCTGGACCTCAGTGATA